GGTGCAGGGTCCCAAGGCTTTGGGCCGTCCTCAACTGCTGTCCCAGGCCACAAGCAGGGAGCTGGATGGGAAGCAGGGCCGCTGGGATCAGAACCGGCGACCACATGCGATCCCAGCCCGTACAAGGCGAGGACTTTAACCACTATGCTATCGCGCCGGGCCCATCCAATACATTTTTACAGTATTAATTAGCTAAGGCTTTTTTTTTTTTTTTAAGATTTTTAATTTTTTTTATTGGAATGGCGGATATACAGAGAGGAGAGACAGAGAGGAAGATCTTCCATCCAATGGTTCCCTCCCCAAGCGACCGCAATGGCTGGAGCTGAGCCAACCCGAAGCCAGGAGCCTCCTCAGGGTCTCCCATGTGGGTGCAGGGTCCCAAAGCTTTGGGCCGTCCTCAACTGCATTCCCAGGCCATAGGCAGGGAACTGGATGGGAAGTGCGGCCACCGGGATTAGAACTGGTGCCCATATGGGATCCCAGCACATTCAAGGCGAGGACCTTAACCACTACACTATCTTTCCGGGCCCTCACAGTATTAATTAAAGAGAGAGAGCGAGCGAGCGAGCTCAGCTAAGGTTGTGGGGCTTGCAAGGCCTGTTCCCAAGGAGAGAGCAGGTCTCTGTGGTCCCAGCACTGGGCATTCTCTGCTACTGAGATCAGTAACTGCCCGGGAAAGGAAACTGCCAGCTGTTCCTCGTAGATGTCGCTGCGCCTGTCAATCAGCCAGCTGTCGTGTGCGCCTGGGAATGAACCTGTGCCTTGGCTCGCGTGCCCACCCACGTGGCAGATGTTAGTGCCTTTCTGTATGTGTGCAGACTGAGGCTGCGGAATGCCCTGTCCCGGCTGCCACAGCGCGAATGCCTGGGGCTGCATCAGGCTTGTGCTTGGAGGGCCCACAAGGGCCACCACACTGGCTTTCACGTAACCTGCAGGAACCAGCTTCCAGACGAAGATTCGTTTATCTCCTCGGCCCGGACAGACGCCATGAGGCTTCTCTGTCCTCTGTACCTAGTGAAGGACAGTTGGAGAGCAGAGACCTGCCCCTGCCCTGGGATGGGTGGGAGGGTGAAGGTGCGGCTGTATTCAGCATGCAGCAAATGCCTACTCAGTCCAGGTGAGGGCAGGACCCTGACCTCTCAGACATGAAAACTGGACCCTCGTGTCCTGCCTGTGGCAAGGTCATGGGTACTTGATCCCAACCACAGACACAGGACGTGGGGTTAGGGGAGCGCGTGGCCAGGAGAGAAGCCGCTGCGTCTGTGCCTTACCGGGTGGCAGCCACTGGCCACCGGGGGTCATGAGCCCCTGGACAGTGCTGGTCCCAGGGCAGAGCTGGGGATGTAAGAGTCCAACCTGGATATTCCTTGTCGGAAAAGCCTGAAACCGTTAGTGTTTTGGGTTTCCAGATTTTCTCAAATTTTGGAATATTGGCATATAATACATGAGATGTCTTAGGGATGTAACCCAAGTCTTCACAATTGATTTCTTTTCTGCGTGTGCATTTTAAAGATTTATTGGGAACAGCACCACTGCTGGATAAAGCTGCTGCCTTTCATGCTGGCTCCCATGGGGCATCAGTTGAAGTCTTGGCTGGCTGTTCCACTTCTGGTCCAGTTCCCTGCTATTGCACCTGGAAAAGCAGTAAAGGATGGCCCAGGTGCGTTGGGCCTGTGCTATCCGCACGGGAGACCTGGAAAACACTCCTGGCTTTGGCCTACTCTAGCCCAAGCCATTAATAGCCATTTGGGAAGTAAACCAACAAATGAAGCACTCTGTCTCTCCCTCTTTGTTTTTCCTTTATAATGTGGCTTCTAGGAAACGTTAAACTTCCAAACGGGCTTTTACATTCTATTCTGCCTTTGTGTTTTTGAGCCAGCTACTCCATCTCCTTAAACTCGAGTCCCTGCAGCTGTGAGGCGGAACTTAACAATCACCGTGGTCACAGGGTCAGAGAAAATAACACATAAAGCCAGCAGCACAGGGCCTGGGACATAGCAAGCATTCAGTCAGTGACAGCATGGAGTCCCAGTGTCACCAGCTCCTTTAAGGGCCTCGAGCAGCCTCTCGGGACAGCCCAGTGCAGTGGGAGGAGGGGCGGGATGAGGGGTGTTGGTGGAGCACTTGCTAGGCAGGCTGAGTGTCAGGCAAGGTCCGCCAGCCCTGAGTGCTGTCCGGCTGGGCAGTAGCCCAGGTTCCAGCCTGCCCAGCCCTGAGGAGGCCTGAGCCAAGCTGCTCCACAGTAGGTCTCTGGTTGGCACTGGAGGCACAACTGGCCTGGCTCAGGTCCCTGAGTCCCGGGTATACGGGAGCTAAGACTAGCTTATGCCCCAACCCTTCCCCTCACTGCCCTGCTATAGGAAAGGACCTCCTCCCACTCAGAACACAAAATGCAAGATCGAGGATTCTGGGAGTAGCATCCTTTGGTTCCAAGGGAAGAGTCCAGCATTCCTCAGGCTGCAGAGACGCGGGGCGGGGCAAGGGGTCCTGAAGGGCACCTGGAAGACACCAGAGTGTGGGGACACTGGCCGCCCAGCCTGTTGTCCTTCACCCAGGGCAAGGAGAGGACACGTCTCAGCCCAGATTTCCAGAGTCAGCCCTGTGTGCAGAACTGCCCCCCACCCAGGCCAGCATGTTCCAGCTTGCCCCAAGGACAGGGTCCTGTCACTCAGTGACACCCCAGCTCTCTCCATCTGGCTTGCTTGAGAAACCAATGCTAGACCCAATCCTGTGTTCCCAGAATCCCCAGAACAAACCATGCCTGCTCCCAGAGTGGCCAGGGCTTATAACCCCAACATATCCCCCAGATGCCACACGCCCTGGGCCGCTCCCTGCCCTGTCCCCTCCTCCTGTTGTCCAAGCTAATTTCCATGTGTGGTAAGGAAGACAGAGCCACAGCATTCTTGTTTGCATCAACTGGAGCCCAGGGTTGAGGCTGGACTAGGGAAGGGAGAAGGTGGTCACTTCTGTTGTCCTCTAGCCATTCTAGTGGTCTTCCTGCTCCTCCAACCCATGTCCCAGGGCTGCCTGCCAGCTGGAAGCATGCAAGCAGCCAGGCTCTTTCTAGAGGCTCCCTTCCCAAGGCATCCGCCAGGGAGAGGCCGAGCACCACGGGGCGTTGGCCCCCAGCCACAGCAGCCTGCCTTCTACCCCTGCCCCTCCCCCAAGGAGCAGCAGGGCGCGGGCCTGGACCTGCTTCTGCTCCCCGGAGACGTCACCAGGATTAGGGTATCGACTTTCCTGGCTTTCCAGGTGGCTGCTGGTGGCGCCTATTGAATTCCGTGCCCGCTGTCCGCTCCCTGGGATGCGTGGGTGGAGGTGATGGGGCGGCCACTCAGGCTGGGGCTGGGCTCCTAGGGAAGAGGAGGGCTGAGGTGGCAGAAGGGCCGTGGGGAAGGTCTGGAAGCTGTGCCAGCAGGGTGGGCCCGGCCTGCCTGATCCCTGGGCACATCTGGATTTTGACCCCTTCCTGAATGCCTTTCTGAATGCCTTGGTTCCCCTTGATTCTCTCCTACTCCCATTGCCCTGGGCCCTTCCGAGGCTGGCACCAAACATGGAGCCCCTGGGAGCTCCTGAGACCCACACACCAAGCTCAAGATGACCCAGGCTTAGCCCCCATGCCTATCCTCCTGTCCCCCAGGGCAGGTTCAAACCCTGCCCCATGGGCCCGGCGCGGTGGCGCAAGTGGTTAAGTCCTCGCCTTGCATGCCCGGGATCCCATATGGGCGCCGGTTCTAATCCCGGCAGCCCCGCTTCCCTTCCAGCTCCCTGCCTGTGGCCTGGGAAGGCAGTTGAGGACGGCCCAAAGCTTTGGGACCCTGCACCCGCGTGGGAGACCCGGAAGAGGCTCCTGGCTTCGGATCGGCATAGTATCGGCCCGTTGCGGCTCACTTGGGGAGTGAATCATCGGATGGAAGATCTTCCTCTCTGTCTCTCCTCTCTGTATATCCGCCTTTCCAATGAAAAAATAATAAAAATAAATCTTTAAAAAAAAAAAAAAAAAAAAAAAACAAACCCTGCCCCAGCCAGGGTGAGCTGGCCCAGGGGACTCTTGTAGCTCTAGCCTCCGCCCAGGCTAGAATGGGCCACTTGCCCAGTTGAGTCAGCTGGGGACACCTGGGTGGCTTCTCTCGGTAATATGGAAAACCCCTGTGTCCCCATGTCCGAGAAGGGTCATGTAGGTGTCTGAATGCAGGGAACATCTAGGCTTCCTGTCCCAGCACCCTGAAGTCTACCAAGAGTCCCCCAGCAGGTTCTGGGGTGGGGATGGGCCTGAGCCCCTTGGCATGGGTTCCCTTTGCCTTCCCCCACTGCCTCTCGTGGCTTGGTGGGCCTTGGTCTTTGAAAACGTATGTCACCTTTAGTGACACTTCTTGGGGGCAGCACCACGGGGGTGGGGGGGCACCAGTCAGCATAGCCCTAGTGACCAGGAAGTAGCCAGGGCCACCTGCACCCCTTCCCCCAACCCAGGCGTGTTAGCTGCCTGTCTCCCATGTGACCCCCACCAAGCCTTATCCTTCAGCTCAGTCTGTAGCGCTGGCTGAGAGGCCTGGGTACCCGGAAGCAAAGTGGTATTTCGTCAGCTCCCAGGCCGCCTCCCTGCACCAAGACTGTAGGCCCTCTGTGGCCCAGCTCTGCCAGGGCCTTAGCTCTCAGTGGGCTGCCCCGTTCTGAACATGAATCCCTGAGGACCATTGCACGGTGTGGCTGGCAGAGTGTGGGTCCCAGGGCAGGCCCAGGGTGGCCTCAAGCTGTTGGTCACCAGACTTTGGGCTCCCTGGCTCCGAGCCTGTTTGTCCACCCCCAAGGATCCGTGGCTCTGTGGTCCAGGGAAGGTGCTCTGGGACTGTCGCCTGGGCGGCAAAGGGCCAGGTCGCCCAGCCCAGGTGGCCAAGGCAGAAAGCTGAGCCTGTCTTGGTGGTGGCAACTGGTCAGACCTGTTCCTGCTGCCTGGCCCGGGGAGGGCCCGGCTGGCAGCTTTGCTGAGGGATTAGCTGGAGGGGAGAAGAGCTTCTTGGTATAAGCCCAGAATCTGATCAGGATCTTGGAGGGCCCCAGGGGAGGGGGGTGTCCTGCTGTGGGGAATGGGACGCCAGCTCTGCCTGCCCTGGTGTCCGCCTTGGCATCCGGGGCAGTGGGCACCGCCTTTTCACAGCTCACTTGGTTACCTTTGTCTCTGTGGTTGTCTGGGGCAAGGTGCCCTTAACCCAGGTTTGGGTCAGTGGCAGCCAGGGAACGGCCGCTCCACACCCCACACTGCACCGACATCCTGAAATACAGGCAAGACAAAGCCTCCTGAGCAAGCAGACAATCCCCTCAGCACCTCCAGCGAGCAGCAGGGGGACAGGCCCTGGCAGGTGGCAGCCACTCCGTGGGGCCCCCAAGCCCCCCTCGGCCTCACTTCCTACCTTCCCCTGCTTTCTCCACTGGGGGCTTGGGTTTCATAGCAGCTAAGTACCCCCTCCCCCCGCACCTGCCTCACTTCCTGGCCTAAGACCACCATGCGTTGACGCGGACAACAGGTGTAGCATAGGTGTGCGTGCAGATTTGGCAGTCAGAGTTTCCCGCACTCGTTCACCATCTCACTGGGCATCACCGTGGGCCTGGAAGGCTGGTGGCAGCAAGACTAGCCTAGCCATGAGGAACCGAGGCTGTGGGAAGGAAACAACTCCCAGGTCACGCACTGAGCAAACAGGGCAGCTGGAACCCTGACCGGCGCCTGTGTCCCACCAGCGACGCATGCTGGCTGCTGTGTGCCTCGTGGTGACCCAAGGCTGCTGTCTGGGCCAGCAGAACTGCCCAGGCTGTCGGGGGGGCGGGGGCAGTCCCTCTGCTCTGCTTCATCCCACAGCTTGCTTTTCCCAGCCTCTCCCCCTTGGGGTTCCCTGGGGCTGCCTGGGGTCTCTCTCTGTCATAGTTATCCCTAAACTTGGAGCTCCTAAGATGGCCCTGCCTGGCGGGACCCCTCCGTGTACTGCTCACATCACTGTCCTCCCTGCGCCCCCGACTTGGCCGTGGCCTTGGTGGGGCTGAGATAAGGGTTTACTGTAAACTGCTGACCGCTTTCAGTAAACAGGGGGCCCACACATTCCCAAGGCCCCAGCTGGGCCCATGACGGGGACGCTCCATTCCCTTACCCAGAAGGGCCAGGGTGAGCCGAACAGGAAGAGAGCTGAAGTAAGCTGCCAGGCACAGACCATCAGGAGGGGAGGGCTGTGGAGGCCAGCCTGGTCCCGTGCTAGGTTGGCGGCTCGGACAGGAACAGCGTGCCTGAAGCAGTTTTGCTGCAATGCTGGGTGTACTAAGATTTCGGAAGACTTTCCTCAGGGGAGGCAGGAGCTGGCAGAGCCAGGAGACACAGAGCCTGGAACTCATGGAATGGCAGTGATCCCCTCCTCTGTCTCCACAGCGTGAGCTCCGGCCTCGACTCTGTGCCATGAAGAAGGGCCCCAATGGCTATGGCTTCAACCTGCACAGCGACAAGACTCGGCCAGGCCAGTATATTCGTGCGGTGGATCCAGATTCTCCAGCCGAGGCCTCGGGACTCCGGGCCCAGGACCGCATTGTAGAGGTGACTTGATCACTTGCTTCCCCCAAACCCTTCCGGGCTTCTCCCTGCCTGCCTGAAGACCATCTGTCAGGCTCATCCGCCACCAGGCAGTCCCCACGGCACCCCATTGAGGCTCTGAGCTTGCGCCTTCTCTTGCCAAGCTCACAGAGAGGCCACGGGGACCCAGTGCCTGGGCAGGTCCCGGAATCCCAGACCTTTGAGCCGGAGATCAGCTTGTTCTAAACTGCTCAGTTGACGCGTGAGAAAGCCCAGGCCCCAGGAGGGAGTGGGCCCGCAGGCCTGGCCCTTCCCAGCTCCACAGCTGTGTTTATTTAGCCGTCCCCTCTGGATATTTCTTTGGCTTTTCCCACGTGTCCTGCCTTTCCCAGCTGACTGTCAAGTAGGAGGACCCCTGGCCCCGCCCGGGACCCTGATGGGGGGAGCTCCTTGTCCCCTCCCTTCCCCTCCCCCAAGCTGGGATCTGTGCCCGCAACCCGTGCCTTCCTGCCCCACAGGTGAATGGAGTCTGTGTGGAGGGCAAACAGCACGGGGACGTGGTGTCTGCCATTAAGGCCGGTGGGGATGAGGCCAAGCTGCTGGTGGTGGACAAGGAGACAGATGAGTTCTTCAAAAAATGCAGAGTGATCCCATCCTCGGAGCACTTGAAGGGTGAGCCGGGTGACAGACTGATCGACAGCTGCTGGAGGCCTGGACGCACCCCCATGTCCATCGGGGGAGGCCAGTCCAGAGATGGTTGCTTGGGGGAAGAACGGGACCCAGCAAGGGGAGAGGAAGCGGGGATTACCGGCAGGCTTCTGTGAGTGGGTGCCCTGGCTTGCCGTGGTGAGAGCTGGGCACCACTGGGAGGTCTGGGCTGCAATCCCTGCACTATCTTGGGGCCCTGGTGATGCCAGGAAAGGGTTAATTCTTAGGAGGCCTCCAGCCTGTGCTGGTTAGATTAGAGTCCAATGACAGGGGCCCTCTGCCTCCCCCTCCCCCTTGTTGTCTTGGAAACTGTTGGCTCTGGAGAACAGTGGGTCCCCCCTAGGTCCCTGGGCCCCTGCCTTCCCCTTCCCCCACAATGCTCCTTCCCAAGCCTGGTACCTCCCCCTACCCATGCTGAGCCAAATGGGGCAGGGCTACTTTGGCAGGGCAGGGAATGGGTTAAGCAGCCTCTGATCCCCGTTCTGGACTTTCTCCCTGGGAAGATGGCTCAGGGAATGAGGTGCCTGGCAGGCCACACTGAGGCTGGAACCTCTGGACTTTGCCACGGGTGAGGCTTCTCTGAAGGTCAGGGTTCTGTATGTAGGTAAGGGTCCACGTGACCCAGGCCCCAACCAAGGGACTCTGGAGAGGAGGGTCCAGTGCCCTCTAGCTCTGGGAAATCCTTGAACACTCTGGGCCTGGGGGATGGTGCTCCATCTGCCCCAACTTACGGAGATGAACCCCTTCTAGCACATGGTGAGGAGGGGTTGCTAAGACCCGGAGGCACTCCAGTCTTGCTCTTGGGGATCCATCCCAGGGGCTCCATTAGGTCTCCAGAAGCTGGACCCTGCTCCTGCAGCCTGCCCCTGGACATCTACAACACCCAGAGTTCCCTGCCAACAGGCTATGGGAGTCAGAAGCAGGGTCCCTGGCCGTGCCCTGGAGTGGGGACACGGGTGCCCAAGGATTGTCACTCGAGAGCTCAGAAGGCCCACCAGTGCCTAGAACTGGAACAGCCTCCACCTAGGAAGCCAGGTAGGGTAACCCCGGGCATGCGCTGTCGCCAGGTTCCCATTGGCTAGGGGGAGAGGCTGCTCAGGACATGGCCCCTTCATCTGCAGGCTGACAGGTAGGCCTCGGTGCCACTGTTCTCTCTGCTGAGGTAGGTCTTAACTCTAACCTGGGCAGGCATTTGGGCCTGCCCCCAGCCTCCACTGGTGTGGAATCCCTGGTACTTAGCCTCTGAAATCTGTAATGTTTAACCAGTTTCCCAAGTAGGAGTCGGGGAGCCAGCCTGGAATTTCAACCTCAGGGAGGACAATAGGTTTTCATACAGCTCATATAACCCAAGACCAGCTTGTGTTTTCTGAATGAAACAAAATGGAAAATAGCAGAGCACTACCCTGTCATATAGTTCTGTGATTCTTACATAATCTGCATGTGTCAGGTTGTTAAGACAGGATCTGTAATCACTGCAAGCTACAGACAAGGGCACCTGGCCTGATCCATCCCCCACGCCCCTTGTCCCGCCTGCACTCCGCACTGCCTTCCCCAAAGCTCTGGGCTCACCTCTGCCCTCTCTCCTAGGTCCGTTGCCGGAGCCCTTCACCAATGGGGAAATTCAGAAGGTAAGGACAACTGCGTCAGGCTGAGAGGCTGAAACCTTGGGTGCCTGGTCCCAGTTCCTCCCCGAGCTCCAAGCTGTGGACTAGCCAGTGCGCCCCTCAGTCGGGAGAGGGCAGCCTGGCCATGCCCCTCTTGCAGGCCGCCATCCTGGTGACAGGTCCCTGCCTCCAGCACCCCACTGGACAGAGGCGGCCATTCTTCCCCCCAAGAACAGAGCTTCAGTGTCTGGCTGTGGACGCTGGGGCCTCTGCTCCTCAGAGTTGGGGTTGGAAGAACAAAGCCCCTCTCCCACCCCCCCTTCAGGCAAGAGGAAGGGGGTGAGTGAGGCTAGGGGAGAGCCGGGCCCTGGGGCCAGCCCAAGCCTTGGAGGAACCCAGGAAGGGGGCTGGGTGCCAAGTGGATGCCCTCACCAAAGCCTCCACTCTGGGACTAGCCAACTGCGGCCACGGGGTGGGAACTCTTCAGGGTCTGCCTCGAGGCGTCCCTTCCCCAGGGGCTTCTGCTGAGGGACCTGGCAGAGGAGGGTCCTTGAGCCCCCGATGGGAGTCTATAGAACTCTCCATCCACCCTGTTCCTTCAAGGCCCAGCCTGGCTTTCTGAGGTTCCTGGGGCTGAGTGGCCGCAGAAGGTTCAAGGAGCACCCCATCCCATGTTTCCCATGCTAAGAGTGCTAGAGCCCTAGGCAGCTAGGTCACTGGCCAAGAGGTGAGTTAGTGCGTGGAGGCCACATAGTAGGGACCCAAGGAGGCAGTTGAGCTCTTGAATCTCCTGACAGCTATGGCCCTACAGCTCCTCCGAGTCCGGGCTGGGCCGGCCCTGGGGGTGGACCGCTGCCCTCTGATCCTTGAAGGAATGTGAAAATGTAAATCTGCTAGAGCCTAGAACTGGGGCAGGGCTCGGTCAGAGCAGCGGACCCCATACCTCACCAGTGCACGCCCCTCTCTCTGTACCAGGAGAACAGCTCTGAAGCACTGGCTCCAGGGACCTCCGAGAGCCCCCGGCCAGCCCTGGCGAGGTCTGCCTCCAGTGACACCAGTGAGGAGGTGAGCCGACCAACTGGGCAGGGGGCGGTGGCTGTGTTCCTGGAGCCAATTTCCAGCCTGCCCTGGTGGTCACATGCTGAGCCACTTTCTGTTCTTATGACCTGGCTTGCCTGGGCACTGCAGAGGCTGAGCACAGGGGAGCTTAGGGAGCTGCTCGGCTTGCTGCTCCTCCACCCTCTCTACTCCGTTCTCTCAACAGCTGGCTTCCCAAGACAGCCCCAAGAGAGAGGACTCCACGGCACCCTCGTCTACCTCCTCCTCCTCCGACCCCATCCTGGACTTCAACATCTCGCTGGCCGTGGCCAAAGAGAGGGCTCACCAGAAGCGCAGCAGCAAACGGGCCCCCCAGATGGACTGGAGCAAGAAAAACGAACTCTTCAGCAATCTCTGAACGCCCAGCCACTCCCGCCTTCCTTCCTCCTACCCCCCCCACACCCCACCCCTGCCAGTTCCCCTCGAATCCACGCACCAATCAGCACCAGCATCCTCCTCCTTGGCCATCTCATTTTTCTACTGAACTATTTGCTTCCCTGTCTTAGGGAAGGTGAATGTTCTGTCCCATCCAATCACACATCTCCCCGAGTGCCTCTCTCCCAGGCTGCCCACAGCTACCCTTTCTTGGGACATCACTGGGACCTGCTCTTGAGCCAGAATGGTGTGGGACCAGGCAGGTGGTTACCTTCCTTCACGACCTTGCACGGTGACCAAGGAACACTGGCAGCCACAGCTTGCTGGGTGGGATGACCACTGTCCTTGGCAGCTGTGGCATGCACATCTTATTTTTGTTCGTTTGATTTTTATTTTTTAACGAGTGCATGTCAGTTCAGAGGGATGCTCCTTTCCTTGATTAACGGTGATTTGCGTTGTTGTTGCGTCCAGGGCACAGCAGCAGCCTCAGCCTTAAAACTCTCATCCTTGCTCTTCCTCCCCCGGAGGCCACGCGTGGGGAGGGCTTGGTTAGCCCTCCCAGCCCTGAGCCAGGCCCCTATTGTAAGGAAACTCCTCAGAAATTAACTCATTCCTGCAAACCGCTCCTGTTTTCGTGTCTTCCTTTGGAGTTTTCTTGGCCCTGGGACCCCTTCTCAGTAGAACTAAGAAATGACAAGCCCCCACAGCCGCCCTAGGCATACCCCCCAGAAGTCTAGGCCCCGGGTCCGGATGGCTTTGTGGCCTGGAGTCTGTGCAGAAGTCTGGGGGCGACCAGGACACCCACCACCACCATTCCCGAGTGTTTAGCTCAGGGTCACAAAGGGCTGTAGGCGCTGCCAGGGGACCAGGGCCCCTTAAACAGGAATGTTGATCTAGGAAAGCAGGAGGGGCCTGGCTTCGTGTTTAGATCACTGGGAGGGGCCTGAGAGCCCTGGACGCCTGAATCCCAGGATGGAGCTGACTGGAATGCAAGGACTGGGCTTTCCTCCTGCCCACGGCCAGTGGGAGCAGGACTCCCAGGAGCAGGCTGAGCCAGCACCAGATAATCTATCTTATCTGGCTGCGGACCTGATTGGAGGCTGGTTGCCCAGTAGTGCTGGGGAGGGTCAGGGAAACAACCATTCACTGGGCTGTGTCCTGGGGCAGGCAGTATGGCCAGCTGCAGGAGAATGGACTAAACACAGGTGACATGCCCTGGTCCAGCACAAGACCTAGGTCTCGTGTACCTATTTCACCGGAGGCCACCTGTGGGAGGTCTGCCAGAGCGACCTGGGAGAGCACAGGCTGCGAGGTCAGGAGGTTCCAGGGCAGCACAAAGGTTGGCTGCAGGATACTTCCTACCCGCCCCTCCAGGAAGCCCACTGGGAAAGCGGCGGACGGCTGGACTGAAGAGCAGCCAGTGTGCCAGCCAGCCCGTGGCCCCAGGCTGTAGAGAAGAACCAGGCACTATCTTGTCATCTCCGCTGCTTGTCAGGGCTCAGATTCCATGAACCCTTATCACAGCACTCATCGTCCCTGGGCCTTGCCTGGCTGGGCCTGGCCTGCCCCCACCCCACCCTTGCCTTTACCCTTTGACCCCTAGTGGAGGTCCCCCGCCCCCAACAGGCAGAACAGGCCTAAGACTTGTGCCACAGGGCTGTGGAGGGCCCCTCCCTGCTTCACCTGCAGGGTGCAGAAGCCTTGGTAGACCTTTGATCAATAAAATGGAAAAAGCAGGTGGTTGAGGGGCCTCCTATCAACGGCGACAGGAGCAAGTATTGACTTCCGGCTTAGGTTCCAGCAGCTGGCATGATGATGGGTCTCCGGGTCCCTGGCCAGGTTACCTAACTTGGTGGGACTGTTTCCCCATTAACTTGGAAAAACCACCCCACACACATGGCCTTTTTTATCAGCCAGCCCACAGGGTAACCAGGCCTAGGGAATTAGGGTGCTCTTCCCGACTTGAGGCAGGGGAGACTGAGCCCACCCACCCTGTAAGCAGGCTGGGCAGTCTGGCTAGGTTGAATGTGTGCCTGCACTGCCCCCTTGTGGCCTGGTAAGATGCAGCTGAGGCAGAGGGCAGGGGTGCTGGTGGGGAGGACATGTGAAGGGCAGGCAGCCCTCCCCTGGATGGCCAGGTGACCCCTGCTTCCTCCTGCAGTCCCAGCATCCCAGGAGACCCATACTTCATCTGCAGGGGAACCCTCCAGCCTCAAAGAGCTGAATCCAAAACACTCCTGTATACTAGCAAGTGCTGGACATGAGGAGTCTGGACCTGCACACGGGCCAAACATGAGAGCCAAGAAAGGCTGGCCACGCCATGTGCTTTACTGTGGCCAGTGAAGGAGACAGGCCTGTCCATTCCCCACGATGCCTTCACCCCTGCCCTCCCCCTCCTCCCCGACTGCTCAGGATTTCTGGCGGCCACGCTGGGTTCCTAGAGTCTGAGTCAGTTTGGCCAGGAGGAAGGAGGACACGACCCTGGTGTGTTCAGCCACATTGCTGGCTGGTGCAGGGGTGCCGGAGACAGTCCACCGAGTCCAGGTAGGTGATCCCAGTAGGACGTGGGCACAGGAGAGTTCTGGCCCTGAAGACCCCCATGGTTCCCACACAGGGCTCTAAGCTGTGGCAGAGGTGGCCACCTTCACACAGCAGGTCAGCAGGACTCTGTCAACCTGTCCCGGTAGGATTTCTCTTCCACGTGGCTTGTCTGCTCCAGCAGCCAGCGCTGTTGAGGCTCGCTCATGGTCAGCCTCAGTGTAACCTCCTGGAAGACGCTGCTCACAGCCACCTGTGCACCAGACAGAACAGGGCTCACAAAGGTCCAGGTGCCACCACGGCGTCCTAGCACCACTAAGGTCCAGGTGCCACCACAGCGTCCTAGCACCACTACAGGTCCAGGTGCCACCACAGCGTCCTAGCACCACTACAGGTCTAGGTGCCACCACAGCATTCTAGCACCACTACAGGTCCAGGTGCCACCACAGCGTCCTAGCACCACTACAGGTCCAGGTGCCACCACAGCGTCCTAGCACCACTACAGGTCCAGGTGCCACCACAGCGTCCTAGCACCACTAAGGTACAGGTGCCACCACAGCATTCTAGCACCACTACAGGTCCAGGTGCCACCACGGCGTCCTAGCACCACTAAGGCACAGGTGCCACCACAGCGTCCTAGCACCACTAAGGCACAGGTGCCACCACAGCGTCCTAGCACCACTACAGGTCCAGGTGCCACCACAGCATTCTAGCACCACTACAGGTACAGGTGCCACCACGGCGTCCTAGCACCACTACAGGTCCAGGTGCCACCACAGCGTTCTAGCACCACTACAGGTACAGGTGCCACCACAGCGTTCTAGCACCACTACAGCGAGGGCCTCTTCCGCCTGCTTACCTGCTTGAAGTGAAGCTTCCGGAACATCCGGAGACTCGGTTCATTTCCTTGACCAATTTTAGCTTCAAACTTGGTCAGACCCAGCTTGGTCACTCCTCCCGGGGGGGTCAGAGAAAGGGGTAAGCAACAGGAATAAGCCTCCCCGCTCCCAACATCACGCGCCCCTCCTGGTTCAGGCTACAGTGGGGTACCTGTCACCTGCCCCAACCCTCCTGCACTGGCCCACTCCCCACATCACCTGCTCACCATATGACAACATCATGAGCGCAGCCTCAGTGCCCAGGCCCTTGCTCCTGCAGCTGGGCTCTAGGAGAGAGAAGAGCGGTTGATGCCGGGTGCCAGGCTCCAACGTGTACCCCCAACATACCCCTTAGTCCAACCATTCTGCAGCTGAGGAAGAGAGGTGCAGAGAAGGTCAAGGATATGCCCACAGGCCTCGTGGCATGCAACCCTGTAGGGAGCTGACAGCCACTAATTTCGGTCTGCTGCCTCATGGGGGCAGCTGGTCACCCCCTGGGGAAGCTGAGAAGCCCCTTTGTGGGGGATCCCCAGTCTGCCCCCAAGGATGGGACACAGTGAATTTTAAAACCTTAATGCCAAACATTAGGGAATGAAAGATCCAGGAGTGAACCACCAGACAGGGGGTGCCGTGGGGGTCGGTGTGCCCTGGCTGGGAACTGGGCTCCCATGTGGAGAGCCCTTTGCAGCTGGGCAGGCAGGGCCAGGCGGAACACACCTGCGATCATGACTTCCACCTCCCCCAGGGTGGGGTCTCCTGGGTCCGTGAGGAAGAGGTTCACATCTCCTGCCATGCAGCTCTCTTCGGCGGCAGCGGGCTGGGCCTGCCACTTCTCGGCGTCCAGCACGATGAAGGTGCACTCTAGGAGGGAGGGTGACAGCGGGTTCACCTGCTGCCCCAGATCAGAGAGGTGAGGCTGGCATGGAGAGCTGGGGAGAGGACAGAAGGCTCAGCCAGCTTCAGCGGGTGGGAGAGCCCAGGGGTTTCTGGCACCTTCCAGGCTGTTCCTGACACTTCCGTGGCCCTAGAAGGGCTGCAGCTGAGTTTAAGAAAGTGGAGTCAGCCCTCCCACCCACAGTTCCCGGACTCACTGTCAGCATCCTCCCGCCAGCTGCGCTGCATGGCGTACTCCTGCTCCAGGGTCAGCGGCTCCGAGGCGGTCAGACGCTGCAGCTCCTCAGACTGCATCCACTCGTGGTACCTGAACAACGGGACAGCCTCGGGCATGGAGGGCTGGCAGAGAGGCCCAGGTCTGGGGTCTTGCTAAGATGAAGCGATGGATGGCAGAGAAGGGTTCCCCAAAGGTTCCCAGGAGCCCCAGAGGGAGGGTCCTGCCAGCAGAGCAGTTCCATGTGCCTGGCTTCCCAGCTGGACTTGGGGGTCAGCGCAGGGCAGCAGCCTACAGAACATTCCTGATTGCTGAGGGAAGGAAACAGGCAGCTGACCTCAGCCAAGGAGGACAGGCCACTGGGAAAAACTGCATGTAGCACACCACCCCAATTCACCGCCATCCCCCCCACTGGCCATCTGCAAGCACCCCCACAGCTAAACGCTGTGTCCGCTCCGAGACCTAGGGCAAGCCACGGTTAAGGCCCCAAGAACTGAGTTCATTATTGACAGACACCAGGGGAATCTCCTAATGAGGCGTTATGCCAATTTCTTCCCCCCTCCCCCCCTTTTTTAAAAAATTTATTTCTTTTCATTGGAAAGGCTGATTTATAGAGAGAAGGAGATACAAAGAGAATGATCTTCAGGCCACTGGTTCACACTGCAACAGCTGAGAGCTGAGCTGATCCAAAGCCAGGAGCTTCTTCCAGGTCGCCCACGCGGGTGCAGGATCCCAAGGCTTTAAGCCATCCTCGACTGCTTTCCCACAAGCAGGGAGCTGGACGGGAAGCAGAGGAGCCAGGACACAAACCACCACCCATATGGGATATCAGTGCATGCAAGGCGAGGACTTAGCCACTGAGCCATTGTGCCAGGCCCTCCCTTTCTTTCTTACAAATATTTTACATAAAATAATTCCTGGTTGGTGTCTGCAATACCAGCATCCCATACAGGCACCTGTTCCAGTGCCAGGGATGCTCCACGTCCAATCCAGCTGATAACGTGCCTGTGCAAGCAGCGGTGGCCTTGGATCCTGGCCACCTACAGCGGAGCCTCGGGTGAAGTTCCAGGCTCTCCTGGCTTTGGAGTGGCCCTTACCGTCACTTGGGAGGGTAAAGCAGCAGGTGGAAGATCTCTTTCCCTCTCTCTAACTCTCCCTTTCAGATTAACTGATCTTTTAAGAAAAAAAAAAAAATCCGTGCAGCAAGGCCAAGGGGAAGGAGAGAGTGCAGGGGAGAGAGGTGGGCAGCTCCCTCCAGGGAAGTCCGGCCCTCCGCGTTGCCTGCTGTCTTTTCCCTTGGTGAGTCACTTTTCCCTGCGGAGCTTTCTTCACCCAGCCTCGGGAATGCAGGCTAAGGACAGCTGCCCGCCCTGGCTGACTCAGCCTGCCGACACAGCGGGCACTCGTTACCTGGGCACATGCTCCGCGGTGTAGGGCACCAGGACCACCTTCCTCCCCAGCAGCAAAGTGTTCTGATTCAACCTCATCGGAACCAGCCTGCAAAGGTGCGGGGAGAGCAGATTTCGGGGACCCTGCCCAAGCTAGGCTCCCGCCCTTCTTCCCAACACCCCAGAAAGGCGAGCAGGGCTGGTGAAGGAAGAACAAATGACCCTTGGCCCGCATCTCAAGGAGGTGGTCAAGCCAGGCTGCTGTTTGTGCCCTGTTCCCTCTGTCCACTCCAATGGACATCGACTCCTCAACACCAAGTCATGAGGCTTATCTAGCCCCAAAGCTGCCATCACCTGACCTCCAACCAGGAACGGCAGCCCGGCCTTCCACCTGTTTCCAGCCCTCCCTCTGCGCCCCCAACTCCGGTCTCCTCATCCCAGAGCGCGGGAGGCGGGTTCCTCCTCTTCGCCTGGCGCCGAATACCCTCCTGGGCCCTCCCTAACCCCAGCCACCAAGTTCCGGAACTGCCAAACTCACACCCCAGTCCCCAGCCAACGAAAACGTCTCCAAACCCAGCGCGGCGCCACGCCTCGCAAGCCGGCCACGCTTCCCCGCCCGGCCCGCGGCCCCGGCCGCATGCGCGTGAGCGCGCACCCGCCCACTTCCGCCACGCAGACGGCGGCCGCGAGGGGCCCATCCCGGTCCCGCCCCCGCCGGGGGCCCAATCCGCACGCGGCCTTGCGCCCGGGGTGCGCCCGGGAAGGAGGGCTCGCGCGCGGACGCCTGCGCGCTCTGGGCGCTGGTGCCGGTCAGCTGGCACCCGGCGCCGCAGCGGCGGGGAGCGACGCGTGCAGCAGGTGTCGTGCAGGGTGGGGTGCGCCGGAGTGGGGCGCTGGGCTCGGGGCTCCTCCTGGAGAGAGAGGAGACGCGGAGGCTCCTTCCAAAGAGAGGAAGGTTTGAGGGTGGGGAAGCCTTGGGCAAGTGACGGAGCGCAAAGTGGAGGCCGCGTTCATTAAAGAGAAGCTCTGGGAGCAGGAGCTGAGTGGAGGGACTGTCCAGGGAGCGGACAGTTCCGGGGGCCGAGCGGCTGCCCTGTGTGAAGTGACAGTTCCCGGAATTCGGTGGGGGACACCGCGTACAGTGCGTGCGACGTGGCGGCTTTGGGGGCCCCAGAGAGATCGGGAGTCCGAGCCGTTGAGTTCCTCCTGGTGAGGCAGAGCGTCTCGGGTCTGTGATGTATCTTGGGGGCTCCCACAGTCTGTGATTGCAGGACAAGAGATGGAGCGGGGAGCCGACCGTGCTGTCCTTGCCTCACAGTTTCTGGGTCCTTCGGAGAGCTAAAGTCTGCTGCTCTTTCGTCCTAGGGAGCTGCCCCCTGCCCTGAGGACCCCTGCGCTGCAGCCCTCCTCGCGGAAATGGCGGGGGAAATCACGGACACCGGAGAGCTCTATTCCCCCTACGTGAGTTTTCCCTTTGCTCACCTCAGGGCTCCTGGGGTTTAGAGAGGCGCCCTGCCTGCTAGGGACTGGCCGTGCCAGCTGCTGGGGTCAGCCCCAGGGACAGCAGCATTGGGGACGGGGTGCTGGCAGCTGCTGTCCGGGCTCAGAAGCCGGGTCGGGTTGACTCCTCTTATGCTAGTCACCTCCCAGCTGCCATGGCTGGCTTGCTGTACTCCCCACGTGGACTCTGGCTGCAGTTTCACTCCTGTCAGCTGTTTGAAACTGCTTTGGTCTTTCGTGAAATCTTGTGAATCTTGCACAACCTTTATGGTCTCGGATGGCGTAAGAGGCTTCCAATTGCGGTTTGGTGGAGTCGCAGTTAGCACAATTAGGATGCGTGAGTTCTCCCCTTCTGGGCTCCATGTTACCCCTCACACCCCCGCACCCCTTATGCCCCTGTTCGGACGCGTGCTCACTTTATCTGCTGTGTGACGTCCAGCTGGTCCTGGTCGCTGTCTTTTAGGGCCCTCTGGCTGGCAGGGCTTAGCTAGGGGATAATCATGTTGCTACCATGCATCCCAGGCCCCGTTGTTCTGAGCAGCAGCAATCTTTCTAGAACTTCCTGCCTGTGTCTCTTGGCAGCCTTTGTTAGCATTCCAGCTATGACAGACAAGTGCTTCTTAGGTCAGGACTCTGCTTTCTGGGGTCTTCCACCTGTGAACTTCCTGGGCAGTGGCAGGGAGCCCCATCCCATCGTGGGGTACACCAGGGAGACTTTCGCAGCCACAGAGTGAGATGCATGGGGTGTCCCTCCTTGGGGCAGTGGTGTGCCAGCCGCCAGCCTCCTCATGTCAGCAGTGAAACATGCAAGCTGTCCCTGAAAGTCACCGTGGTCCCTGTTTTCTTTCAACGTCCAGACTCAGAGATGAGGAACTGAGTCATCTTTATAACAGTTTGAGAGGAAGACGCTGGTATGGCCGCCGTGCTGGTGTTTCCCTGCTGTCCCAGTCGTTATCCCGTTGTCAGCTTTGGCCCACGAGGGATGGCGCTGCTCTGATGGGCTCTGCTTTCCGTCCTCCATTTCCTGCATTTTCTCTTTTGTCCAGGGTCCATTCCTGGGGCCAGCTCTATAAACAGATACCCATGTTCTTTTATCTTGCTGATGCAAGAGGGATGCAGGGAAAGATGGGCAGTGTTGGGAATGACGCGGGATGGCCAGGGCTTAGAGGTGAGGTTATTAAACAGAAAGAATTAGGGAGAGATCTCCCCCCACCCACTGGTTCACTCTGCAAGTGACAGCAATTGCCAAGATTGGGCCAGGTGGAAGCCAGCAGCTGGGAACTCCAGCTGGAGCTCGCTTGTGGCTGCGGAGCCCGAGTGCCTAAGCCATCTCCTGCAGCTTTCCCAGGCACGGGAGTAGGAAGCCGGATTGGAAGTAGGGCAGCCGGGGCCTGAACCAGCGCTCATCTGGGGTACTGACGTTGAAAATGGTGGCTTAATGTATCGTATCATGATGCCAGCCCCAATGAAAATGAAGCTGGATCACCCGGTGAGACCAGAGAAGGGCCCATAGAGCCTCCACAGCACCCCAGGGTTCCCCCGTAGGGCTGTTGGCACAATGTGAGCAGATCCCTGTTCTGGCTGCCTTGGAGAGCCGAGGTACAAGACATACCTTGGTAAAAGTGCATCATCCCATGGTCATCCCCAGTCCAGGTCTTTGCGCAGCCCTGGTCGCTCTCTGCAAGCTTTGCTCGGGTCCAGGGTACCCTGGGAGTTTGTAGCAGGCAGAGGAGCCTCAGGAGGCCCTCAAGGGTAGTGTTACACATGGGAGTGGCAGGCCTGTGTCCCCAGAGTGACTTGGGGCCAGCAGTCTGGTTCCTTACATACAAGGACCCAAATGGCTGTGTGTTTACAAGTACAGCGGCTTCGAGGTCTGCTGTTCTGCTGCCCGGCGCCCACCGTGGCTGACTGCTGTTGTTTGTAAAGGAGTCGGTCCTTGCTTCAAAGCCCTGAATCCCACTGCTGGCTGCCTCCTCTTTCCTTTCCCAGTGGCAGAGAGGGTGCTGTTGACACTGGTGGCCCCTGGTTGGTGTGGTATGGGTGACACTGCTGGGTGTGGGGGGCAGGGACAGTGCTTCTCTGAGCTTCCTGGGACACTGGGGCAGCAGTGAGCAGCCCGGGGAGCTGGTGTGCCTCCTGCAGTGGACTCCCACAACTGGAGGAAGCTTGGTTACCTTTAGGCTGAGGTCGCTTATGGAGTCTGCAGGAGGGCCTGACTCCTCTGCGCTCTGCCTCACTTCCCTGGTGACCGAGCAGTCACCTGACCAATGGAAGAGCGTGTCTTTTTTCTCTTCTTCCTTCCCCACAGCTGCACCTGATCGGGTCCATGACAGTTCCCATTGCTTCCTGCCTCTAGGGACTGTTCTTACGGTCATTCCTTACCCGTTCCGTTTACTGCAGCCGTCCTTCCAGGCCTACTGAGACCCCCCCGAAGGTGAAACAGTCCTATATAATCCTACAGGAACTCAAGCCCATGCCAGGGGTACAGTGGTTGCCTTGGAGCTAAAACAACATCCACAAAGCAAGACAAAAGCATTTGCCTATTTCTGCTCCCATCTGCCATTATTTTATTCTGTGTTAACTTCTTTGTAGAGTTCCTAAAGTTTGCTTTTGACTGAGATGGGTTGGAAGCTTTTCTTGGGAGCATTAAAAAACACATCTTTGGGCCTGGCGTGATGGCCTAGCGGCTAAGGTCCTTGCCTTGCACCAGGATCCCATATGGGCGCCAGTTCTAGTCCCAGCAGCTCTGCTTTCCATACAGCTCCCTGCTTGTGGCCTGGGAAAGCAGTCGAGGAAAGCCCAAGGCCTTGGGACCCTGCATCCATGTGGGAGACCTGGAGGAGGTTCCTGGCTCCTGGCTCCTGGCTTTGGATCGGTGCAGCACTGGTCGTTGTGGTCACTTGGGGAGTGAATCATCAGACAGAAAATATTTCTCTCTGTCTCTCCTCCTCTCTATATATCTGACTTTGCAATAAAAATAAATAAATCTTTAAATAAAATAAAATAAATTAAAAACACATATTTAGGGGCCCAGAGCAGTAGCCTAGAGGCTAAAGTCCTTGCCTTGCATGCACCAGAATCCCATATGGGCGCCAATTCATGTCCTGGCAGCTGCACTTCCCTTTTAGCTTCGTGCTTGTGGCCTGGGAAAGCAGTAGAGGATGGCCAAAGCCTTGGGACCCTGCGTGGGAGACCCAGAAGAAGCTCCTGGCTCCTGGCTTCAGATCAGTTCAGCTTTAGCTGTTGTGGTCACTTGAGAAATGAGCCAGCAGAAAAAAGATATTTCTATCTCTCTTTCTGTCTATAAATCTGACTTTCCAATAAAAATAATTTTTTCCCAAAAACCATGTTATTTACTTATTGGAAAGGCAACATTCTAGAGAGAGCAGGAGAGACGGATCTTGCAGCTGGTGGTTCGCTCCCCGAGTGGCACAGCAGCAAGGCCCACGCCAGGAGCGTGGAACACCATCTGGGTCTCCACTTGGGTGGCAAGGCCCCAGGTACTTGGAACATCTTCCAGTGCTTTCTCTTTTTTTTTTTTTTTTTTTTAAAGATTTATTTTTATTATTTTTTCATTGGAAAGGCGGATATACAGAGAGGAGAGACAGAGAGGAAGATCTTCCGTCCGATGATTCACTCCCCAAGTGAGCGCAACGGGCCGATACTATGCCAATCCGAAGCCAGGAGCCTCTTCCAGGTCTCCCACACGGATGCAGGGTCCCAAAGCTTTGGGCCATCCTCTACTGCTTTCCCAGGCCACAGGCAGGGAGCTGGATGGGAAGCAGGGCTGCCGGGATTAGAACCGGCGCCCATATGGGATCCAGGGCGTGCAAGGCGAGGACCTTTAACCACTTGCGCCACCGCGCCGGGCCCTTCCAGTGCTTTCTCAAGGGTGTTTGCAGGGATCTGGAGTGGAAGTGGAGCAGCCAGGACTTAAACCAGTGCTCGCAGGGGATGCTGGATCACGGCTGGTGGCTTAACGTGCTGAGCTGTAATGCTGGCTTTCGGGAACATTCTTCTTTTGTCGTGTTTGTGTGTCTGGTGGTTCTGAGCTGGCGTTCATGTTGTCAGTAGGTGACATTGAACGATGTTGGAAGACGTTTGGGGTTGGCATGATATTGTCGGGGATGGGGAGTTATTACTGGTCAGATGCCATGGGTGCTACTAAATGTCCTTGGGCGTACAGGACAGGTTCTCCCGCGGAGAATGGCCAGCCGTCAGCAGTGTCCAGGTTGATCAGCTCTGATCTCTCGGAGGCCTTTGGCCCCTCTGTCCCCAGAGCCGCAGGCCTCCCGGAGCTCACAGAAACCTCTCTGCTACCTTACTTTCCCACAAAACTTTTGCCTAATAGTCATCATTTCTTTTTAAAAAGATTTATTTATTTGGAAGGCAAAATTAAAATCTTCCCTCTGCTGGTTCATTCCCCAAGTGTACAGTGGTCAGAGCTGGTCCAGATTGAAGCCAGGAGATTTTTCCGGGTCTCCTGCATGAGGGCGGGGGGCCAGAGGCCAGGGCCATGGCCATCTTTCCTGGTTTCCCAAGTCTGTTAGCAAGGAGCTGGGTCAGAAGCGGAGCAGCCAAGATTCCCGTGTGGGAGACCAGTGCCACAGACAGTGGCTTTACCCTCTATACCACGGTGCCAGCCCCAAGCTTTCTTCATCCTCTTGGCTTTCTCTTTTCTTCTGTCGTAAGAATTGTCTCTTCCCAGACCATTTTCCCAAAAGGAATCGAGTGCCTGGGCGGGCACCTGCACATCCATCCGATGGCAGCTTGAAGGTCACCACGAGGCCTTCCTGGAGTGCCCTGTACTTGATCGTGTTTCTGTTATTCCCTGTGCTGTCACCCTGATTCTTCCTAGCGCCTCTTGGAGGTGGTTATCATGCTTTGTTCTCTTTTTTGTTTGAAGACCAGCGCTCCCATCTGCTGGGTCATTCCTTAAACTCCCGTGCTGACCTGGACCAGGCTGGCCTGGGCTCAAGTTGGGCACTGGGACCTCTCCAGGTCTCCTGCAAGCGTGGCTGGAGCCAGTGTACTCGAGCCATCTCTGCTGCCTCCCAGGGCCACGTCAGCAGGAGGCTAGGGGCTGGAGCAGAGCACTCCGCTGTGGGTGCTTGACCACCAGGCTAAGCAGCCGCCTCTCGTGGCTCTGTGTTTTGTTGCCTGTCTTCTCTTTCGAACCTAGTTCCCTGAGGTCAGTGACCAGTCTGCGTTTGCCATCATACTGCCAGCTCTGAGCTTTGGTCCTTGCCCGTGGGAAATGCTCACAGTTGACCACATGAGTAAAGAAGCAGAAGGGATCTAGTGAGGTGGCCCTGTACTCTTTTGTTTTTTTAAGATTTATTTTATTTTCATTACAAAGATATACAGAGAGGAGGCTCTTCCACCTGATGATTCACTCCCCAAGTGAGCACGACGGCTGGTGCTGCACCGATACAAAGCCAGGAGCCAAGAACTTCCTCCAGGTCTCCCACGTGGGTGCAGGGTCCCAAGGCCTTGGGCCGCCCTCGACTGCTTTCCCAGGCCACAAGCAGGGAGCTGGATGGAAAGCGGGGTCACCGGGACTAGAACCAGTGCCCAAATGGGATCCTGGTGCGTTCAAGGCGAGGACTTTAACCACTACGCCATCGTGCTGGGCCCGACCCTGTACTCTTGAACATGCTAGCCTCAGAGTACCAGTGACTGGAGCTAAGCCCTCCCGTGGGTAAACAGTAGGCCGTCCTGGCTGTGCTCCCGAGTGGGGCTTGATTGTGTTGGGCGGGACCCACCAGCTGCTGTAGGAAGGTGATCCCTTGTCGTACCTTCCTGAGATCACGTGGGGATTGTGACACCTGAAACGGTCCTCAGCCCGCCTGCGGTCAGAGGTTATGTGGGTGACTCCTGTCCTTAGGCACCTGTGACATGGGCTGAGCAATGTCCACCGCTAGCCTCAGGTTTAGAAACGGGGCGAAGGTAGATAGTCTTCCTCCAGCTCCTGTGGGACGCGGGCTCAGGACCTCCTATAGACACAAGTCCCGTATAGAAGGCGTGATGTTACCAGATAACCTTACACGCAGTGTCCTGTGCACTTTGGACCCTCTATGGGCCATGCAGCTCTTACACCGGTGGATGCTGTGTAAAGTGGTGACATTGCTTAGGGGATCGTGACAAGAAAAAAGACCCTTGTTCAGTACAGTCAAATTCTTTTTTCTTTTTTTGGTAAATGTGTTTGTTTGAATCTGTGATGGCTAGCCCACAGCTATGGAGGGCCTCCAGGATGGAGAATAAGAAGCTTTTAAAGTTTATGTGTGTATGTGTATATGCATGTATGCATTTGAAAGGCGGATTTAGAGGGAAGGAGAGATATCTTCCATCTGCCGGTTTGTTCTCCAAAAAGCCCCAACAGCCAGGGCTGAGCCAGGAGCTTCATCCAGGTCTGCTCTGTGTACAACAGGGACCCAAACACTTGAGCCCCCTTCCACTGCTTTCCTGGGCTATTAGCAGGGAACCGGGTGGGAAATAAAGCTGCCTGAACACACACCAGTGCCCTGTGAGGTGCCAGCAGCTGCTTTAACTGCCCTGCCACAATGGCTAGGCCCTGGGATAAGAGGTGTTATTGCTCCCAGAATTCGCAAGTGGGAAGCAAGACAAGTTTGAAAGTCTGGGAGAGCTTTGTGGTGGCAGTAGCATCTGGATGGACCCGAAAGCCCGGCTAGGAGTTGAGGGGTAGGAGAGGAGCCCCAGCAGGGCTTGGAATCCTGTACAGGAACAGATATGCTGTGAGCAGAGCTGTTCTCCCTCCACAAGGTGCCCCCTGCCATACCTCACCCAGCCCTCGCATGCCAATAGACACGTGCTGGGAAGCCTGGCACACACTCTCTCCCTCTTTGTAAAATGTATTTGTTCATTTGAAAGAGTGACAGAGGGAGAGAGAAAGAGCTCTCCCATCCACTGGTTTACTCCCCAGTGACCACAATGGCCAGGCCTGAGGCTGGGACCTGGTTCCAGCTAAAGCCCGTGGCCCTGGAGCCGCACCTGGGTTTCCGTCATGAGCAGCAGAGGCCCAAGCACTCAGAGCATCATCCCGTGCTTTCCCAGGCACGTAAGCAGTTAGCCATATCAGAAGCCGAGCAGCTGGGACTCTAACCATCACCCCAGTACGGGATGCTGGCATCCGCAAACAGTGGCTTCAGTCACTGGGCCACCACACTAGCCCTGAGGCCTGTTCTGCCATCAGTCCTCCCAGCCAGAGCCTCGGGGTGATGGTTGACAAGCCCTGTCTCTACTTCTTCATGCTTAAAAAAAAAATCTGGGTTTGCACAAACAGGCCTCACTTTGTGTCTGTGATGACAAATTCAGCACATAGCTATCCTAGAAACATTTAAAAATGTAGAAAAGTGTGCCTTTCTAAGAACGGGAAGTGAAAAATGAGAGCTGGGCGGCTGTTACCAGAGATACCGTGTCTGTTGTTTCTAAATAAACAAGCGGGCAGTAAAGCCTAGGCTAAATCAAGCGACTTAGCATACCGGAAGAGCAAGTACGAGTCACCTGCTGTGACTGGCTGGGAGGATTCATGGGAATTGTAAAGAGAGGCAGCAGCTGGGAGGTGCCCCCCCACGAGACTTCGGAACTGGGAGCAGTAGCCCTGCGAGGCAGAGTGTAGGGGGCCCCTGGGGGGACGCTCAGGTGGACAGAGGAGCTGGCAGTGCATGGGAAGTCTGCAAAGGGCTTGTGCTATCGAAACTCAGCCAGCAAGGCCCAGTCTCGGGTCAGGCCAGGTGCCGTGGGCAAGGTGGGCAGAGGAGGGGAAGGGAACAGAGGCTGAGGTGTGACAGCAGGAGGGCTTCCGGGATGTTTTCAGAGTCCTGGGGAGGAGCGAGTGTGGAAGCCACGCGGTTGGAGATGAAGGCAGAGTGCATGCTTGGCGAGTGCTGCTGAGGGGAGCCAGGCTCCTGTGTCAAGGAGGTGTGCCGGTAGAGCGGAGGAGCCAGTGGGAAGAGAGAATTCCAGCAGGGTAATGCCAGAAGTCCAAGCTCAGCGTGGCTTCCTGCGGGAGCAAGCGCCTGTGCCCCACAAAGGCAGGTGGGAGGGCAGGGAGAATGAAGGCTCCTGTTTTATTTTTATTATTATTGTTCTTGTTGATTTAAGAAAATACTATGTGAAATGCATCTGCTGGTTCTCTCCCCAATGCCTGCTACAGCCAGGCCGCTTGAGCTCACATCGGTTCCCTCCCAGGCTGGATCGGACTCAACCAGGCACTCCCACACGGGAAGCAGGCACCCGAATTTGCAGCTTAGCTTGCTGCACCATAGGGTCCTTCGAAGACATGGCTGTTTTTGAGCCAGGAAGGAGTGAGGCTTTGGGTACATACCCCAAACCAGTCTCATTGCCTCCCACAAGTCAGGGGCGGCACCCTCACCCTGAGTGCCAGGCGCTGCCGGCCTGGGGCTTTGAAGTACCAAGGATCACTGTGGGAAATGCCAGCAGGCCCCTTACAGAGGAACTAGGAACGCCTTGATGCTGCCACTCCCCGATGAAGGAGCCCTTTGTTGTGGGTCCAAAAAAACGTCTCCAGGAACCTGTCCCGGAGCGGGGGAGAACAGGTGCTGGCCCCCTGCCCCCCCCCAGCAGGAAAGAGGGGAGGAGGCGGGTTGGGCGCGTGGCAGTGGGACCAGCAGATTGGCTGTGACGGTGTGCAGGTGGGGAAGGGGTGAGCATCCCGCTGAGATCCTGCAGGGGGAGAGGGGAGAGTGGAAGAGACTGAGCAGGGGAAATGGAATGAGTCAGTGGAGCTTCAGAACCACCCTGCCACCCGTCCCGGGCGGGCAGTCGGCTGTGGCCAAGAGGGGCGTTTGTTGCTAGTGGCAGTAGTTTCCTAGGGTGTGACCACAGCAGCAGCATCCACTGAATCTCAAGGGTGTGTTGTATGAAACGTGAGTGATGTACTTCCCCCTCCCCCAATACTCCGGAGTTGTCATTAGGCGTGGCCCAGGATAAAGGCAGTATGGATGTTGATGTCCTTCCCAGAGGATGGTGGCTAGGGGTGGCAGAGAGGAGGGTGGGGGTCCCTTGGGGCCTGTGTCCCACAGGAACTCTGCAGAAAGCCCTAGCATCTGTGGCACAGCTTTGAATAATCGCCAAGTGATGAGGAAGTGGCAGAGATGATGGCCAAAACAGACCCCGCCACCCTCAGAGCTTCCCGAAAGAGCTGCCAGAGTGTGGTGCTTTGCTGCCCGGGTGTTGGCATTTGGCTCCCGAAACCTCACAGCAGCGCTGGCTCTGCGGGGCTCAGGTGTGGTCCTGCCTTCTCTTGACTGCTTCCATGCCTTGCCATGGCGTCCACAGCTATCCCTGGGAGCCGCTAGGGGCAAAGGACAGCCGATCTCTGGCCTTGAGTGTCGCTCCTGTTGCTTCCAGGTGGGGCTGGTGTACATGTTTAACCTCATCGTGGGCACGGGCGCACTCACCATGCCCAAGGCCTTCGCCACAGCCGGCTGGCTCGTCAGCCTCCTCCTGCTCATGTTCCTGGGCTTTATGAGGTAAGAGGCCATGGGAGGCAGTCACCCAGCCCGGGAGCTGAGCCCTGGGCCCCAGAGGGTGCTGGAGGGGGGCTGAGTGTCTGTCTGCCTCTCTTGTAGGTCAGTGAGTCCTAACCAGGCCCGGGAGGGGGGCTGGGGTAGGGCAGACACCGAGTTCCCGCCCTCTCCAGCCAATGGGGCAGTTGCACCGCAGGAACAGTGAGAAACTCGGATGGGCTGCGGGTGAGGCAATTCCTGCTGGCTGCTTTATGCTTTTTCTGCTGGGAGCTCCAGTTCTGAGAACATGCCACCTAGCCCCAGAGAACGCGTCCAGCAGTGCAGGTGAGGACAGGAGTCAGCTGGCCACCCAGGATTCGCTGGAGCTGACTCAGAGCCAGGGTTTATGACCTTGCCTGCCTGGGGCTCCCCAAGCCTTCAGGGGCACCTGCTTCTTGAGGCAGGTGCAGGGTCCATCCACAGGTGTTTCAGGGAGTTGGTCCACCGAAGGCTTCTCCCAGGGCTTTCACTGTGTGGGTGCTCCAGGCCAGGGAGGGATTTAGAAGCAGCCGTTTCCAACCCTTGCTCTCCTCCCCAAGCCTGGTGGGAATCCACAATTGCAGGTGTGGAAAGGAACACCTGTGTGGCACCCTCAGAACTCCTCCCCAGGAGCGGGATGGGCTCCTGCTTCCCTAGCCTGGCAGAGCCCACCTGCAGCTGCGGTGGGGAGGCAGGCAGTGGGTAGAGAGGAGACTGGAAGGTAATGGGGGAAAAAGGCAAAGTGTGGGATGGGCTGCAAGGCAAGGCTGACTCAGTTTCTAGCCACGTGGCCGGGGACACGGAGGACAGCCTGAGGAGCCAGGGAAGCCCTCTCTGAGACCCCTGCAGGGGCTGGAAGGGAGCGAAAACTCCCTGGAGTTTCAGTGCCTTTGTGGGGGAGCTGGAGTGGACTGGTCCCAAGCTCTGGGAGTCCTTACCCGTGTGGGGTTCAGCCGTCCCCTTTACAAGTCCTTCAGCGCAGGTGGTTCCAGGAGCCCCCCCAGCCCCCACCTCCACCCCACTGAACCTGCCACCCCTCAGGGCTCAGCTAATCTCTGCTGAACCTGATCAATGAGTCGGTTCTGTGCAGTCTCTTGATGCCTTAATTAAGATGGATTTCAGTTTTACTTCCGGAAACAGGAGAGCAGCAAAAGCCCTGAAAATGGTCACTTAAGCAAGATAATGAGAAACCTCTCTCGGAGGCTGTTCGGGAGCTGGCTCCCTGGGGCTGTAATTACATGTCTGCAGGGCTGGGACAAGGGTGGGCTCCGGAAAGCAGCCCGCCCCTGCAGCCCGGGAGCAGCCGGCTGTCCGCTGGGTCCCTCTAGTCACTTCTCGAGGCCAGCGTCTGGCGCCCTCTCCCAGGCCCACTGTGGACTGTGGCTGCTGTTGGTAGGAGCCAGAGGAGTCAGGAACTCAGAGTCCTTCCAAAGGGAGGGAGAGTCCTGCGGGCATCACCTGCCCTGTGTCTCCCTGTGCCCACGTCCTAGCAAGAACGGCAGCACGCTGTCCCTACAGAAGCGGGGAGGTGAGGGCAGGGGTGGAATAAGCTCCCTCTGGCAACCCCCCTCTCCCCTGGGGTCTGTCCCCAGAGCCCCAGTGCACCCCTTCACCTCTGCCCGCCCCAGCTCCCTCCCTCCCATCAGCCTGTTTCTCCAGCTGTGGGAGAGCCCAAGCCCTCAGGTGTGCACACACACACACACCTGTTTCAGCAGATGAGCGTCATCCCCAGAGCTCCTGAGGGTCCACGCTCACACAGAGAAGCCTTTAGGCTTATTGTTGGCAGGCCTTTTTTTTTTTTTAGTTTATTTTTATTTAGATGGGTGATAGAGAAAGAGAGAGAACTTCTGTCCTCGGGTTCACTCCCCAAATGGCTGTGACTGTGGGGGTTGGGCCAGGCCGAAACCAGGAGCCAGAAGCCAAGAACATCATCTGGGTCTTCCATGCGGGTGGGAGTCCCAGCACTTGGGGCATCCTCCACTGCTTTCCCAGGCACATTAGCAAAGAGCTGGATTAGAAGTGGAGCAGCCAGGACTCCAACTGGTGCCCATAGGAGGTTGCAGCTGGTAGCTTAACCCGTTACGCCACAGCACACGACCCTTTTCCCTTCCTTTGTGACATCTCCAACTTCTTTCCTGCCTCATCCCCTGCGCCCCAGCTTCATGACCACCACCTTCGTGATAGAGGCCATGGCCGTGGCCAACGCGCAGCTCCACTGGAAGAGGATGGAGAGCCACAAGGTGGGTACATCACCCTTGTTCCCAGGCAGCACCTCCATTTAGTCCTGTACCCCAGAACTGATTTCGGCTGCCGGTGCCCCCTAACACCCCCTGGACTCTCGCCCCAGGGCTGAGGTTTCAGCAGGATAAGCTTGGAGGATGGTGCAGCCTGGTCCAGGGCCACCTCGCAGCTCTGCTCCCCAGCCCCTGACCCTTAGTGCCCAGGAACCTGTCCTGGGTTGTGGCCCTGGGGACATTCGAGAGCCTTCTAGTCAGGTCGCCGCCTAGAAAGAGCAGAGGCAGTGGATCTGCCGCTGTGGTTTGCCAAGGTCAGAACACCCTTCCTTTTCCCTCCTCTTCCTTCCCCGAACCCCGCAGCAGGAGGAGGAAGATGACGACTCCTCCACAGCCTCAGACAGCGACGTTCTGGTGCAGGAGAGCTACGAGCGGGCAGAGAGACGGCCCATCCTGTCTGTGCGTAAGTCTCGGGGTGCCAGTGCCTGCTCCGCTCCCTGCAGAGAAGGTCCTGGCTGGGAGGGGGCCCGTAGACATCCCGAGGCGTTTTCCAGAAAGGTGCTGTTAGGAGACCCAGCAGCACAGGCTTGGGGTCCGGGCACAGGCCTGGCCCTGCTGGCTCTGTCCCCCACCAGGCACGTGGCCTGACCCCTGTGCTTCTGTTCTGGGACAGTGAGATGCCTGGGATCTGGGGGATGGGTCACTGGCTTCTCTCCACCCTCCCACCTGCCCCCCTGCCTCTCTGTCTGGCTGGCCAGGGCTCAGAGATTCCTTTGCCCCTCTCAGCCCAGTGTCCCCCAGTGCCCTTTGGAGTCCTGGTAGGGGGTGACCCTTGAGACTGTCGCTCTTCTGGAGAATTCCATCCTGCGAGGGGAAGAACCATCTCCTCCCCCTGTTCCTTTGGCTCCACAGAGAGGCGTGGCTCTCCCAGCCTTTTCGAGATCACAGACCGAGTGGAAATGGGACAAATGGCTTCCATGTTCTTCAGCAAAGGTAGACATTTTGGGGGGGGGTGTCCCCCTCTGGGACTCTGCTCTGACTGCCAGGAGACGTGGAGAGGAGTCCCCAAAGTGCCCTCCCAGAGCCCACAGCCTCCAACTGCTTGCTTGGGGGTGGCCGTCCCAGCAACGGTCAGCCCACGCATGCCAGCCAATAGCGTTGTGTCTGTTGCTTAAGTCCCCTGGCTTGGTTGTTTTCTGGTGGGCCAGGGACAACCGGCCAGAAGGGACAGGATCTGCCACAGGCACACACGACCTGTCTCCCTGGTGACCAGCAGAGGGCGCCAGGAGCCCATGCCTAGGGCTGCTGCAGGCCTGAGGGTCTGGATTCCCCTGGCCCCTCTTTACCCGATTCCTTACTGGGATTTGGCTGCAACCTGGAGGGGTCCTCCCAGCCCAGGGATGTTCCAGAGACAACCTCTTATGCCTGCATTAGCAACTCTTGTTGTTTTGGAAGACGGATCTCTTTAGTAAGATATATATATATATATGTATATATGCAAAATTACAAAGAGGGAAGAGTCCGAGAGAGGAATCCTTCTGCTGATTCACTTCCCAGATGGCCACAATGACCAGTACTGGGCCAGACCAAAATCGGGAGCCAGGAGTTTCTAGTCTTCCACATTGGGTACAAGGATTCAAGGGCTTGGGCTGTCCTCTACTGCTTTACCAGACATAACAACAGCAGAGAGCTGGATTAGAAATAGAGCACCAACCTGTGCCTGTATGGTAAGCCGGCATGGCAAGTGGAGGCTTAACGTGCAGTGCCACAACACCAATCCCAGTCAGATAGCTGTGGGTGCCCAGACCCGACCAGCTCTACCTCACTGGGAATCAGAATCTTTGAGCATCCTTCCCCTCACAGACTCCCTTTGGGGGCTGGCTGCCCCTTTGGCAGAGGCCCTCCTGTGCTGGGCATGGGCCTGTCTGTTCCTTCCAGTCTCTGGTGTGGCTACATTCAAAGCCGGGGTCCTGTTGAAATGAGGGTCTTTTTGACTGCTGCTCAGCTCGTCGCTGGTGGCACCATCAGGCTGCTGGTCAGATGGGGGTGACCATCGGGGAAGGGTCACTCCGAGGGCCCGGCTCCATCCTCCCTCCCAGACCTGCCTCGCAGATGTTTCCGGAGTTCGACAAGACCAGAACCTCGCTGGCCGGCCCTAGCCCACTTCTGTGCTTTCCTTCCCATCCGGTTCTGTTACTCCCCATCTCGCTAGGCCAGGAGGGTCCCCGAATTTCCCCCACACAAGCTTTCCAGGATGAGGCCCCTGGGAGGCACAGCACCTGCCTGTCCTATGTTCCCGGTCTTCAGTGAGCCCTGATTCCTTTAGGAACTGGTAGTTCAGCTGCCATCCTCACACCCTGGCATGGGAATAGTCCCCTCCACCCCAAACTTGTGGGACCCGGCAGCCACCTTCTCCTCCATGGGAACCCCCAAGCCCAGCTCTGGGGAAATCTGGCACAGGCCATTTTTCGTTAGGCTGGCATCCCTGGCCTATGGCAGTAGCTCCCCTGAATTAAAACAGTCAGAACCATCGTCCAATGTGGCCACATGTCAGCCGGTGGCAGTGGGCAGAGGCGCCTTTGCCCAAAAACCACTGCCCTGCACTCCTTTAGCTCACAGAGGGTCCGTGTCCCAGCCTGCGCTGTTTAGCTCATAGAGGGTCCATGTGTCACCTTTACCTGTGGCAGGGCACCCCCTCCATATGGGGCTCCAGTGGGTGGGGTGTGTTTGCGCGCGCGCTTGTTTCTCATCATCAGAAATGCTGGCTCTAGTCCCTGACCTTGGCTCAGGAGGGGCCTGGGTCATCCTGCTCTGCGTCCAGTAATGACACCTACTGCTCAGCAAGGACGCTTGCCAGTCACCCCTACAGGAGCTGGTTGTGGGGAGTGGAGAGGGGTCGGGAGTGGGCTTCTGGCTTGGGCCCCTCCTTTGCCTTCTGTCCCCTCACCCCCTTGCCGCCTGACCTCAGCAGGAAGGCTCTCCTGGCTCCTTGCACATCGGCCATGCTTCGCTCTCCGCTTGCACCTGTCCAGTGCTCCCAGCTCAGTGAGCCTCTCTCAGGTGACAGTCACAAGCTGATGTGTCTCCTGCCAGCGTCACAGCATAAGCAGCGGAAACGACAGTCAGGACTGCAGGGTCGGCTGGGGGAAGCGCAAGCTCTGAGGGGAGTGGTGTCTGAGTCCCCAGAAAAGGGTTGTCTGTGTCTGGCTCCCTGACTCAAGCTCTGTTCCTTTCAGTGGGGGTCAACTTGTTTTACTTCTGCATCATCATTTACCTGTACGGGGACCTGGCCATCTACGCCGCCGCCGTGCCCTTCTCCCTCATGCAGGTGACCTGGTGAGTGCCTCCCCCTCCTTGCTGCTTGTGGCCAGATGGGCTTCCTCGGCCACGTCGAGGCAGGTGGCCAGGGAGGAAGCATGGCCCGGGTGAGCCACAGCTGGCCACGCCCACATCCTTAGGAGACCCACTGTACACCACAGTCCCTTTTCCTGCCCCACGGGGACGATGGTTAGGATGCCTACCAGGGGCTCTTGACAGCGGGACCGTCTGGGTTCCAGAGATAGTTAGGGCCTGTCCTGCGAGGGGGTTTCTGGGAGGTCTCATGGGCAGTGGGAATGGCAGCTGCCTGGAGGGCAGCCCTGAACCCCGGGCTCTCCCCTTGTCTCCCACAGCAGCTCTGTTGGCAATGACTCCTGCGGCGTGGATGCGGACACCAGACACAATGACACTGACCAATGCTGGGGGCCCCTGCGTCGGGTGGACGCCTACCGCATCTACTTGGTGAGTGCGCTCAGCCCCGCTCCGGCCGCTCCGGGTGCCTGAGGCTGTTCAAGCTGCCTCTGACCTCCTGGGGAGACCATGCCCCAGAGAAGAGGGGCTGCAAGGCCTCGCACCCTGGTGGATTGCATTGCTGCACGCGTAGCCCCAGAGGGAGGCAGCCTGGCCTGGGAGTCATCTGTGGTTACAAGTTGGCACGTAGGTCCCTGCCAGCTCTGGGGCTGTGAGCTGTCGTAACTTAGCTCAAGGTTTCAGGGGCACTTGGCAAAAGGTTCTTTTACACAGGCTTGCCAAGGTTTGACCTTGCACCTGGCCAGTCCAAGAGCATGTGGGTTGGTACTGGCCTAAGCCCCCCTAACCATTGACCCTGACCGTGAACAGACTCTTCAGCTGGCCCTGTGGGTGGGGAAGGACATGACTCCCCAGGCTGGTTCTTGACTGCTGTGTGCTGTGGCAGGGGGGTGGGGAGTGGAGGGTGGGTGGTCCCGCCAACCAGAGACAAAACTGGAGCCGTTATTTATCTCTGCCTGCTCAGCAGGCAGGACGCTGAGATGTCTCCCTTGAACTTTCACAGTGTCTATTAATATTCCCTGCTCAGCCCTGACACAGATTCAGGTGTGTAGGTGACACGCAGCGGGCCGCGTGGCCACTTGGCTGATTGGGGGCGGGCGAGAGCGGAGCTCTCAGGGGGCTGGTCTCTTGATGTCATTATCCCTGTCCTGGCAGAGGTCGCTGCAGACCCTGCCGACGCCGTGCTTTGGGTGTGGGTCTGATAATGCCAGGGGCTCCCGAGCGTGCTCTCTGCGCCCCCTTTCCCCACCCTGTGGACTGTTGGGAGGCCAGTGGCCCAGGACCTGGACGCGCTTTCTCTTCCTCTTTCTGTTTGGCGAGTGTTTCTGCTCTCATGGGTTCTGCTGTGACTGCTGAGGGTGGAGGTTTGGTAGGAGTGCTGCCCTGTCATGGGATTGCAGGTGGGCACAGGAATGCCCAGGCACCAGCGGCACCACTCAGGTCTTAGCCCTGTAGCATCTTGGCTGCCTTTGTAGGGTCAAAGTGGTAAAAAGTGTGAGTAAGCAGCGTGGACGAGGAGGAGGTGCTGAGGAGGCGATGAGGCTGGCAGGCTCCGGGGCGTCCACTGGGGAGGCCTCCGGTTCTGGGCTGCTGCCGATTGCCTGGTCTGTTACCCACAGGTATTACTCTCACCTATGCACTGCCCCTTCACCCATGCCTGTGAAGCCCTTGCCCCATGACGGACGCCTTACCCCTGTGTCTTGGTAACTCCAGCCCGGCAGAAGGAGCCCTTTGGCAGCCCTTTGGCAGCAGGAGCCCTTTGGCACCACCGGCGTGAGCTGCCGAGACACGGAGCAGGTGGGACAGCGGAGCCGGAGTGGGCTTGTCTGCCCAACCACAGCCAGTTCCTCTGGGTCATTCTCCAGTCTGGGGAGGTTGGGGGCTTCGGCCTGTGCAGGAAGCTTTGGGTTTACTTGTGCCTTCCTACCTGGTTTGGGGGCAGAGGGAGCCGGTGGCTGAGGCAGATGGGCCTGAATGTTATCTCAGAAGTCCCTGACAGCTCAGTGTGTGCCTGTCGGGGCCTAAGTCCCTGCAGAACCGCAGTCCCTGGCACTGCCGACACTGGGCAGCCCCTCTGACGCTGGGTGAGTTGCATGGGCAGAGAGCTGCGGGGAGGGACGGGGGGCTGGCAGGAAGGAGCAGCTTTCCTCCAGCAGCCATGAGCTGTAGCTGTCTTAGGAGTTGCAGCAGCGTTGTTCTCAGGTCGTACCTACAAGGCTCATTGCTCCGTGTCCTGTAGGTCAGAGCACCACAAGCCACCCAGTAGCCACGACTGACCCCAGGGAGCAGGGTCATTGTCCTGCCGTGGCCTCCAGACTTTGGAAATGTTGTCCCTCCCTTCTAGAGACTCCCACCATAGCTCCTGTCACCGCCACCACCTGCTTCTGATGGCACTGCCAGACGGTTCCCCATGAATGTTCAGCAAAGCAGCAGGCGGGTTGGGGGTGGGGGTCGGGGAGCACTGTAGTCAGAGCCCCCCTTCCGTGTGTCTCGAGAAACGACGCGCATACCTGCAGTTCTGAAGAGCCCGGTGATAACCGCTCCTGCTGGCTGTTTTGGGGTGAGGCTGTGGGTGTTTCTGTTGTGGTTTCAGTTTCCCGGAAGTGCTCTGGAAGCGATCTCTGGGAAACACATCCAGGAGGAGGGTTTTTGGAGTGCTGACTTCTAGGGTGCACGCGTGCACACACACAGCAGCTATCAGCCGCCTTCCCAAGCCTTTGACCTTAAGAAATGGAAAATTCCTCCTGCTGCCACGCACCCTACGAGACCCTGTCCGTGTCTGGCGATGCCTGGTGCAGCCCCGCATGACTCAGAGTCTCCCCCTCCTTCCTGGGCGAAGCCACGGAGCAGGGTGTCATGGCGGGGGGTGGGCTGTGACTCACCTGCTGCCCCCACGTAGGCTCCAGGGAGCCACCTCGAAGGGGGCCAACAGTGGCCTGGCCCCGTCGCCTTTTCAGGCCCCACCACCCAACCTTTGAAGACCCCAGTGGGAAAGCGTCGGGCTGCGGCTCCCTGGGGGTGTGGCGGTGACATGGCCCCCTAGCTGGTGAATATTTGGGATTCCTTCTGCCCCCACCCCACTTCTCTGGTGTCTCAGAGGGACTAGAGACCATATCTGAACTTGGGTGTGTGCCAGGGTAGCCCATTTCCATGCCCACAGGCCCGTGGGTGCTACAGCCTCCCAACCCATCTCTCCGCTCGTTTTCTGGGTGCCCCTCCTTCTAGAGAGGGTGTGAGAGAAGCCTTGGGGGACAGTGGGGATTCCCCCAAGTGCTGAAAGTTCCTGGCCATTCATAAGTGGCCACTTCCCAAGTGGACAGGTGCCGGCCACGTACGACCTGGGGCACACATGACAGAGTGGAGCTTCTGGCTGGAGATGGGGTTGTAAAGGGGCTTGGTGGCGCAGGGGGCCCTCATGGGCTGCCTGTGGCTTATACTTAGATGTTAGCTCCACTCCCAGGGCACAGATAACTCAGGAGAGGCACAGGTGCCTGGCATGGAGTACCATCTCCTAGTCTGAGGGCACTATTCCCAGACAGCTCCATGAAGAAGTGGGCGCCCTGTCCGCCAGGCTTTCTGGAGGAGCATGGCCTGAGATTCAGGCTCCAGGTAGTGTAGGAGGGAGCCTCCGCCGAGGCCCTGCCTTCTGATTGCGTCTTGGCTCCGACCCGCACATTGACACCGACCTCTGTCAGCTCGCATCAGTGAAACAGCGCATCTTCCTCTTCCCAAAGCCAGCGCTCTCCTCCTCCAGTCAAACCGCTCAAGGAGACAGTCCCCTTCTTGTGAGGGATGTGAGCAGGGAGTGAGCGTTGGCCCAGCAGTGCCGTGCCAGGCTCTGACAGCTTCTCTACCCCAGTCTGCCTGCCTGCCTGTGCCCGTGCCCATGGCCCATCACCCATGACTGTCACGGCTCCCGTTTAGGTCTCCCAGCCACAAGGTTCGGTCTGTGGTGTCATCCCATTTCATGATGGTACAGACATGGACACAAGCTTCCCTGGGGGTCACAGAGCCAGAGCAGAGAGCAGCCCAGTTGCTCTGCTTGCCCAAGATGCAGGTCTGTGCTGCTGGTGGCACGTGGGGCCACACACAGACTCGGCCCTCGGAGCCTGACTCGTGCTGAGGGCCCTGGGCCCCTGGCTTGGTGGGCCTGCACATCCAGTCTCCCAGGGACTCTGCCTGACCTCTCGGGGGCTGGAAGGGGCACCTGTTCCCAAGGACATTGACCTTGCTCCCTGGCCTCTGTCTTGCGCATGTGCCACTGTGCCCCAGGGCTGTGGCATCTGCTCGTAAGTGGGTCGCCACTGCCACCTCTTGAATATTTATTCTTACCAGTTCTGGAGCAGGAAGTGGCCTAGAGGCCTTCAGGACCAGTGACCGGGGCAGGGGGATAGGGAGGTGGGAATGAATGGGAAACGGCAAGTCTGAGACCAGCCAGGGCGTCACGGGACTCAGGCATCTGGGAAGCAGGCGGCCTCGTGAGCACTTGCCTGCTCTATCAGGGCTTGGGCCAACAGCAGACCAGAGCAGATCAGGAGCTGCCTGGGTGCCTGGGCTGGGGAGGCAGTGGCTCACTGGGTCGGGACATCCAGGGGTCTTCGGGATGTCCAGGGGCCTTCGCAACACGGGGGTGTGCGGGGATTCCCGGGCAGGTCAGAGGGCTGGCTGCCTCCTCCTCCTCCTCCTCCTTCTCAGGGTGCTGCTCAATCCCCCAGCCCGCCCTCACCCCGTCCCCCACATCAGCTCCTCGCCGCTGGCCCCTGCCTGGGCCCAACTCCCGCACCACGGAGGGTGTGGCTCGGTGGACATGGAGTGCAGCTTGAGCCTGTGGCAGGGTGGCATGTCTATGGAGTGTGTATCATCTGCACTGGTGCCAAGCCCCCCAGCATGCCAGAGATGGGGTCTCAGGGAGAAGGAATCTCTTGCCCGACTCCTCGAGGTTGAGCCATTACCAGGAGCAGGAGCTGGGGGCCCCATTGGATGGAGGGAGCCCTCACTTCCACCAGGGCCATGCTCAGATCGAAGTGACTGACTTGAAAGGCTCCGTGTCTCTCCTTTTCAAGGAAATCAATAACAGGCACAGGTCCACGTTTTCCTTCCCTCCGCCGCCCGCGCCGCCCTTCCCGGGGAGAGCCGCCTGTCTTCTTGTTCTCCGTGTGCTTTCCACCCCACCCCCTCTCTGTGAAGGAATTCAGGTTGCCTGTCACTGTGGCACTTGCCTGTCTGGCCAGCCTCAGTCCAAGGCCCCCACCGCCCCGCCACACTCACCCTCCGGTGTCTCCCCTCCCCCCACACCTGCTCCTGCTCAGCCCCAACAGCACACCTGAGTGGTCCCCGAGCCCCACTGTGATCCCAACCCCATGCCCTGGCTTAGCACTGCTGCTGTTAGGCCGGGCCTCTTCTGCCCAGGGAGAGGGCCTGTAGTTTTCTTT